TATTTGTATAAGCATGCCTAACAAGTCAAGGTAATTGTGGTTAAATACAGCATGGGGAAAGCATTTTCTGTCAATTTAAACAGCATTTTCTGTTTCATTACGTTTTACTTAACAGGTCTTTCATTACATCATCTTTTACTTGTTATTTATGCCTAAGTTAAAACGTACAGCAACACCCTTATCAGGATTTCATTTGGCAGTTATGGTTTCATTCACAGTGTAATTTAAACAACAAATAAAGTGTTTATTTAAGTATGTTAAATATGTTGTATTTATGCTCCACTGTTGCATCTAATAGTCCAAATTACACTAGGCTGTATTTAAATAATATGTAAATTATGTTCATTTTCTTCCCTCCTGTTAAAGATCATACAAATACGGTCACTGATTGCAACAGGTGCCTCCTTGGTTAAATACACCACTTCATTTAAAGAGGTAACCCCCACAAAAAAAAAAATATTTTTCCACTTTAGTTCAAGCCTTCACCCTACCAGGACAAACCAAATCTTCCTGTCATAAGTCCCGTTATACGGTTAGTATCTGCTCTCAAGCTTGGCGGGGCAATTTCAATGGTTTTCACATAGGGGTTAGGTTATAACTATATTATAACATGTTTTAGGTATCAAGTAAGGATCATTCTTACCTCTACCGTATACATTTTACAGAACAATCGGCAGGTACGTCAAATAAATGATCCCAGGTGGGGTTATCAGGAGTTTATAAGCTCCCACCAATTGAGGTATGGTCCTGTAGGCCTCTTCGCCTACAAGTCAAGTGGTCCCGCAAGGCATACATTCAGCCTCCCGTTCAGAGGTTCGAGCCCAATTGGCCCAATGCATAGTTATAGCCTTGCATCAAGTCATAGTTAGGGCCTCACCTGTCACGGCCATTCGATATTGCATTATTTTATGTGTCACCGAGAGGCCATCACCCCGCCGCCCACCTCAGTGAGACAAAGGGCCCACAAGCCAAATCATAGGTAGTGCCTCTCATAGCCAATTGGCAAGTAGTCAGGGCCTAACCTGTCACCAACATAAGCTTGTTAATACAATTTCGCCTGTAGGCACTACTCTAGTTAGCCTGGAAACTACTGTACTATACGGTACCATACTAACCTACTCCATCTGCCTCACTTCCTTAGCATGTCCAACACTTCTATACATGGAGACGACCTGTTGGTTCCCAGCACCCCACTCAGAGAGGCTCACAGAGAAGGCAACCCATTCCTCCAAGTCAAGTCCTGGACTATACCTAAACTTACCTCAGAACTCAAAAAGAGGAATATCCCTTTCCCGGCTACAGCCAGGAAACCTGAACTATTTAGTTTATTAAACACTACTGAGGACAACGAAAGGCTTGGCCCTAGTTCAGAGTTTAATGTGCAAAATAGCCTGGCTGAGTTGCACGTCATGATGGTCTCATAATTATCATAAGTCATTCTCATCCAAATCTGCCGCATCACTGTCTCAATACAATACAATTACAGACTGGGGTCAGTTAGACACGGAACCGTTTCTCATGCATTTTGCAGGTCTCAAAACTCCTTCCTGTGCCATATGCTCATCAGCTGCTCATTCAATAAATTTCTGTCCTGAAAATGTAGCAATCCCTTCTACCAGTAGCACCAACGCTGATTATCAGTCCACCACTACCCAGAGGAAAGTGAGAGACAAGTTAGGCAGGCCAATTGTTTTTCTGGGTAAAGCTCAAGTCTGCAATAATTTCAGTGCTGGGGGTTGTAGTTATAGCACTTGCAGGCTTCTTCACGTGTGCTCACTTTGCTTCAGAGTGCATGCCAAAATGATGTGCACCAACAGGTTGTACCCTAAAAAATCTTTCACTCCAATAAATGTACCTAATTGGCAACACAACCTGTCTAATCATCCTTCTTTACATCTGGTGTTATTTCTCACACCTGGTTTCACTAATGGGTTACACACAGGGTTCGTGTCACTCCCCACAGGTATCTTGGAATGCCCCAACCTACAGTCAGCACTCACAGATCCAGACACCATACAAGAACTCTTACAAAAATAAATCACCAATGGTTTCATGATAGGCCTTGTCACAACACCACCTTTCACCTCCTGGAGGACAAACCCCCTAGGAATAGCCACAGGGAAATTTAACAATAAAAAGAGACTGATTATTGACTTTTCTGCACCTCACTCATCCTCTACACCTAGCCTAAATGCACTGATCCCATCAGAAGACTTTTCCCTTCAGTACGCCAGAATTGTCGATGCCATACAAGCAATCATTCATTTCGGGAAAGCTGCCTGGTTGAGTAAATCTGACATTACTAAAGCCTTTAAATTACTTACCATTCATCAGTCACTCTGGCATCTGCTTGCAGTTAAGTGGCTAGACAGCTATTATTTTGCTACCAGACTAACCTTCGGCTCCAAAAGTAGCCACAAGTTATTCGACATATTAACCTGGCTCCTACTGAACTTTTGCAGATGTCCAGTAGTCAAACCCTACTTAGACGACTTCCTCAACATCAAACCACACCATTGCAAACCACACAGCCTTAATCACATGTTCACTCTGTTCAAAGATTTAGTAGTTCCGGTAGCACAGGACAAAACAGAAGGTCCCAACACAGAGATTACTTTTCTGGGGATTACGCTCAATTCTGTCTCTATGCAGGCCAGCCTGTCCCAAGAGAAAGTAGACAGAATTCTTTCTTACATAAACATCTGCATGTGGCAGCTGTTCCTGTCCTCTTGGAATGGCAGGTTGCTATTTGTTCCCCCCATTTCTGATGATTCCCCAGTAGTTTGGACTGACACATCAGGGGCCATAGGCTATGCAGAAATTTTTGGTAATGAATGGGTATATGACTCTTGGCCAGTTGAGACCACCTCGCTGGATAATTTCAATACCACCTCAGCACTATTTGAAATTTACCCGATCATAGCAGCTGCACACACTTGGGGTAAAGAGTGGAGTGGACAGTCAGTCAGATGCTTTTCTGATAACTTAGCAACATGTAATATCGTTAACAAAGGACGCTCTCAGTCCCTCACGATTATGAACTTGATTAGGAGACAGACCTGGCTAGAGGCTAAGCTTCAATCTGCATAACCTGTATTCACGTTACAGGTGTTCAAAATACCGCTGCTGATTCTCTCTCACGCTTTACTTTGCAGGAATTTTTGCAGGCATCATCCATCTGCAAACTTGCTACCCAGAGAACCTACAAACTTTGCAGACCTAAATATGAGCTAAGTTCTCTCTTACACCATAGTAGGTCACTCACACAGGCAGGTTTATCCCTTAATACAAGGAAAGCATATTCCAGAGCGTTCAAATTGTTTAAAAGATTTGTTCGTGTTTATTGTATTAAAAACTAAACTTGACCAAAACTGAAATTCTGGTCTTTCCTCCCTCAAGTGTTGTTACTCCTGTGTCTGTCTCCTTCCAAGTCAACGGTGCTACCATCAGCTCCACCACACAGGCTCGCTGCCTAGGTGTTCTCTTTGACTCTGACCTCTCCTTCAAACCTCATGTTCAATCTATCGCCAAATCCTGTCATTTCCATCTCAAAAACATTGCGCGCATCTACCCTTATTTAACGTCAGATGCGACTAAGGTGTTGGTCCACTGTCCTTTCTCGCCTTGACTACTTCTCAGTGGTCTTACGTGCTCCCAACTTGTTCCGTTACAGTCCATAATGGATGCGGCAGCGAGTCTCATCTTCCTGTCTGCCCACACCTCCCATGCCTCACCCTTCTGTCAGTCTCTACATTGGCTTCCTATAAAATTTAGCTCAATTTAAAATTCTGGTTCTTGCTTTCAAATTGCTACATAATGCTGTTCCCACCTATCTATTCTCCCTTATACACAAGTATGTCCCGTCTAGGCCCTTACGATCTGCTGAAGACTTAGGTCTATCTTCTGTCCGTACTCCCTCCTCTGATGCTCACCTTCAAGATTTCTCAAGGGCTGCACCGTTCCTGTGGAACTCGCTTCCCTCCTCCGTTAGATGCTCACTCAGTCTCGACTCCTTCAAAAAATCGTGAAAAACCCACTTCTTCATAAAAGCGTATCAATTAAACTGTTAATAGCTCCTGACTGATTCCTCTTCTGCAACTGTCACTAGCCTAATACTATCCTTACCTTTTTGTGTCATTTTACCCCACTCCCTCTAGCATGTAAGCTCATTGAGCAGAGCCCTCAACCCCTCTGTTACTGTGTCACTATACCCCACTCCCTCTAGCATGTAAACTCACTGAGCAGGCCCTCAATCCCTCTGTTACTGTGTCACTATACCCCACTCCCTCTAACATGTAAACTCACTGAGCAGGACCCTCAATCCCTCTGTTACTGTGTCACTATACCCCACTCCCTCTAACATGTAAACTCACTGAGCAGGGCCCTCAATCCCTCTGTTACTGTGTCACTATACCCCACTCCCTCTAACATGTAAACTCACTGAGCAGGCCCTCAATCCCTCTGTTACTGTGTCACTATACCCCACTCCCTCTAACATGTAAACTCACTGAGCAGGGCCCTCAATCCCTCTGTTACTGTGTCACTATACCCCACTCCCTCTAACATGTAAACTCACTGAGCAGGCCCTCAATCCCTCTGTTACTGTGTCACTATACCCCACTCCCTCTAACATGTAAACTCACTGAGCAGGCCCTCAATCCCTCTGTTACTGTGTCACTATACCCCACTCCCTCTAACATGTAAACTCACTGATCAGGTCCCTCAATCCCTCTGTTACTGTGTCACTATACCCCACTCCCTCTAACATGTAAGCTCACTGAGCAGGTCCTCAATCCCTCTGTTACTGTGTCACTATACCCCACTCCCTCTAACATGTAAACTCACTGAGCAGGCCCTCAATCCCTCTGTTACTGTGTCACTATACCCCACTCCCTCTAACATGTAAACTCACTGAGCAGGGCCCTCATTCCCTCTGTTACTGTGTCACTATACCCCACTCCCTCTAACATGTAACTCACTGAGCAGGCGATCAATCCCTCTGTTACTGTGTCACTATACCCCACTCCCTCTAACATGTAAACTCACTGAGCAGGGCCCTCAGTCCCTCTGTTACTGTGTCACTATACCCCACTCCCTCTAACATGTAAACTCACTGAGCAGGGCCCTCAATCCCTCTGTTACTGTGTCACTATACCCCACTCCCTCTAACATGTAAACTCACTGAGCAGGGCCCTCAATCCCTCTGTTACTGTGTCACTATACCCCACTCCCTCTAACATGGAAACTCATTGAGCAGGGCCCTCAATCCCTCTGTTCCTGTGTGTCCAACTTGTCTGGTTACAACTACATGTCTGTTCGTCCACCCATTGTAAAGCGCTGCTGAATTTGATGGCGCTATTTAAATAACAGAATAATAATAATAATAATTTAAACCATACATATACTTATAAAGAATACGTTCATGCATATAAATATAATAGCTTCTATAGCCCTTCGAATAAATATATAAATAAAGTGCGAAAACACCTCATGATGAGGTGTATGATGAATTCCTAGGACCTGCGTAAAAAATACAAAATATGAGAAAAGAGAACAATTTAATGAATATACATATAAAAACAATGTAACCAATTATTAAATAGAATCAAAGGAAAAAAGGGGTATAGAGTGTAGGTAGGTGGAGAAAAATGTGGATTTACTAAATGTAAAGATCCTAAGTGTAAAAATTACTATTAGTAATAAATCTTAGAAACTTCAATATCAAATTCAAAAATAAAAATTTCGTATATGTAAATGTAAATGTTGTATCCATAAATATATCTTAAAAAGTCTATGTTTAAAAAAAAAGAAAAAAAAAAATTTGAAATGTAATAATAAATATTAAGATTAATAAAAAATAAATATTGAAAATAAAGTTACCAGCAGCCCACCCCCTGACTCACTGATAAGCTGATTTTGTGAGTAGCGGCATATGCCGGTTTAACTCACCACCTTATCTAGTAAGAGGCAGAGCTTTCTAGTGCTCTGTTACTACTGTCTCTATTGCTATATTTATCTACGTTTGTCTTATTTTAACTCTGCATGGAGCAGATAATAAACTGTTAACCTTTTATTCAAGCACATTGTCTTTTGAATGCTTAAGTGCATATTTAAGGTATTTGCAATTACTACAGAGTATTCTGAGATTTAAGGCTACATTTTGAGGGAATCAATAACACAAGGAAACGTTAATTGATTAATGGTGCCATTTTTTAATCAATCTGCACTATTATTGTATTTCTGTATCTTTTTCTTACATATTCCACGATTAATTCTTGGAAGAAAAAACAAAAACCAAATCAGTTTGAATACACATCTTCTATGATTGTATAGAGTAATGCTCCACTTACTACTGCACGTTGTCGGAAATATAGTATAACGTCTTCCTTGCTCTTTGTTTCATTATTTCCTGCCCTTATTCTCACCATCCTACCCCTGCCAATATTAATTTGCTCTGGAATTACACAATATTAATACCGCAAGCCCTGAGGCTTTGTGGAACTGGAACCATTTAATGATGTTTACATGTCTAAGGATTATCACTACACTCAATAAATCCCCCTGTGGCTTAATTACTTGGTATCATTATTCTATTGATTTATTACCAACAACAACATTGATGCCATCAAACTTTGATAAACTGATAAATTGTTAAAAACAAAAAAACATGCAGTTTAAATTAGGAATTTTACATGACTGGAGGCTTCGTATTTTGCATATCTCTCTTTAGTAGCTCCACACAGCAGCAAAGAAATACATAGAAAAAAAGAACCAATCACAAGAGAGTAGGATGTACATAAGGCATAGTGACCTAAGCACCTCCTCTTTCTTTGCTGATCCATCAAGCAGACAGGTCAGAGTATTACTCTTCTCCATTATTTATATTTATATTGCCTTTTGAGGTCGTTTCTGTATTATTTTAATATACTTCACTGTTTGTTCTTGCTGATTTTCTGTACTATGTGCAGCTGTGTTTTTTCTTTGTTTTTTCTATGTTATTTATTGTGTTTCTACCTTATTCTTGGTTTCTGCCTCTCTCATCCTTGCTCTCACTTCTCTGGGGCTTGAGGGACTTTTTGCAAGCCCAACTGAAGGCCATACTGCAAGCAAAACTGAAGGCCAAACTGAAGGCCGAACCGAGGGCCAAACGCAAGGCACAACTGAAAACTTACAAATTCCTTTAAAATGGACGCTGCCATGCTTTCTTTTCAGCAAAGTTGTCCAAAATGTTTTCAATGTTAAGTTTTCTAGCTCTCTCATTTTCAATACTTAACAGGGCTAGGCCAGAAAGTCTCTGTTGTGACATGGTGCTTCTCAAGTAGTTTTTTTTATTAACTTTAATTTTGAAAAGGACCTTTCTGCACTTGTAACTGTAACTGGAATGGTGAGGAACAGTAGCAACGCTATGCACACATCTTGAAGATTGGATGACAATGCACAGTTTTCAACAACTAGGTGAGAAAGGTCCTTTACAGTGGAGCATCTCCGAATCTCTTCCTGAAATGTTGAACGGAAGCTCAGAAGCTGTTCTGGGAAAGCTGGTGATATGTCCTATGGGTAGCATTCCTGTAGCTGTGAAGCAGCTTTGAACAAATCATCATCAGTTTCAGAGGCAAGGACTGTAGGTTGAAGTATATTAAATCTCTGCATGACATCTCTGCAAATCGGTTAGACAGCTGGTTGGTCACAATGTCTAAACACCTATAAAACACAGCAGTTTTAAAGCATTGTTCAGGATCCTGCAACCTTTCATCAATTGAAAGTTCATCAAAGTGACGCTTTACTTTTCTTACTCACTTGTTTTCGAACTGCGTCTGGATGCCCCACTTTTCTGCCAGTTCTACCGCTGTTTGTTTTGCTGCATCAAAATTATCCCTATATTTCTTTAGGACTAGAGCTGCCTTTTGTATTAGATGTGCTGCACTGGATAAATCTATATTTTTTGACTGCCACACTTTAGAGACCACTTTTATGGTGCCCAAAATCTTGCTTTGCAGGACGAGAAAAACAAATTGAAAAGATCCTATTTTTGTTTTTAATGCTAGCAGCATCATCTCTTTCTTTGGGCTTAGGTGACATCAAGTTTATTTTTGTTAAAGCTTGCATAATGTCTACAAAACGAAAGCATAGAGCAGACAGTGAATCATGGCAAGATGACCATCGAGTGGGGCAAAGTTTTTTCAATGTAAGTGTGGACTCTGTAGAGAATGATAAAAGAATGTTCCATCTGCGTATGCTTTCACCAAAAAAATATACAATTCCTGCACCACTTCAAAAAACCTAGAAATTTCTGGTATGTTCCCAACTGCATCCTGAAGTACCAGTTTCAGATTCTGAGCTGCACAATGTACATACAAGGCATTTTTCTCTTTCTGTGCAATTCGAGCTTGCACACCAGAATACACCATTGTCTCTGCACCATTATACCCCTGGCCACGACATTTTGTTATATTTAGGCCGTTGCTCTCTATGCAAGAGACAATGTCATGTTCAAGGCCGGCAGCACTCTGGTCCTCAACTGCATGAAACCCTAGAAAAACCTCTTTGATCTCAACACTAGTTGTTCTCTGGCTTTCATCTCTTTCCACAGAAACTTATCGGAATATTAGACTCATTTGGTCAACTTTTGATATGTCCTGTGTAGTATCCATAATAATTGAAAAAAACGGTGTCTCTTTTTATTTCCAACACAATGATGTTCCGGACCTTATTTGAAAGTATGTGTATAATTTCATTTTGTATTCTAGGACTTAAGTATTTTACAGATTTTTGGGGTAACTGGAGGAGTTGCTTCAGAACAGGATCATACTCCGCAAGCAGCTCTATAATGGAGAGAAGATTCCCGTTGTTTACCTCGCCTACTGTTTCTCTGTGACATTGACAATTCTATGTAATACTTGTGTCCAGTAGTTTTTTTCCTGTCTAATTTGCTTCTTATTTTCCTCATCAATTGTTTTGTTCTTCCTCCATTGTTCATACACTACACAGGCTTCTATATGAGTTTGGAAACTTATAAACCTGATTTCTTACAGAAAGCCTTTGCCATTTCTGGATTCCTTTAGCCATTGCAGGTTCAAATCCTGCCTTTTTACGGTCCCCAAACAGCCAGCATGGTTCACAGTATGCTACATTCAGTTTAGGTGAGTAGCATAGCCACATAACAGGGATCTTAAGGCCTGTTTTTGTAATTCGTTCATTATAGCTTTCAGAAAGCACCTCCTGATCACGTGGCAAAGGTCCTGGAGGTCGGCACAGGCCATAAACTATTATAAATCTCTTTATATTTGAATATCAGTAACATGTTTCTCTCCCACAACACTACTTTCTGTAGAAGCCTCTGTAGAATTCAACAATTCAAAATCATCACCTGATTTGGTGCTTTCTGATGACTGCACTATTTCTTTTGTTGGTAGACTAGTGCCAGGCCCGGACTGGCCATCGGGCACACCGGGCAAATGCCCGGTGGGCCGCGGTGGCCATGGGCCGAGGCCGGCAGGGGAGGTCCCAGGACATCCCCTGCCGGTCTATGCAGGGCCGGCACTATGCGAGCGCCGGCCCCGCTGTCTTCCATGGAGGGCCGGTGGGGAGATCAAAGATCTCCCTTACCGGCCCATTTAAACAGACCTGCGGCTGGGGAGAGAGGGAGAGGACCCGGCGGAGCTCTATCTTGTAGCTCAGCTGGGTTCCTCTCGCGAGATCGGGAGCGTTGCCATGGCAACGCCCCGATCTCGCGAGAGTCACCATTGGACCACCAGGGATCGTGTGTGAGTGCTGGTCCCCCCCACTCACCAGCGTGCCGGACCCCTCCTCCTCCCAGGCTACAGGTAAGGGGAGGGGGGGGATAATGCATGATTAGTGTTTTTGTTTATTTACCCCCCTTATTTTTTTTTATTTGTATATTTAGTCCCACTTAGGTTTTTATTTGTTTATTTACCCCCTAACACACAACATTTATACACAGCACTCTCACACTCAGCACACTCAGCACTCACACACATCATACACAGCACTCACACACACATACTGCACCCCTCACATACACACACAACCCCCCGATACACTGCATCACACACATACACAATACTTCCAAACATATTTATATTATATATATATATATATATATATACACACACAGCACCCCTCACACACACACACACACACACACAGCACCCCTAAACACATTTCATTCCAGACACACACTAGATCCTCTACCCAACTCTGAATCATCTACACACACT